TAGGAGATATCGAAGATTAAAGTTTTCCAACCTTTCTCCTTTGATATCTCCGCTTCTACTGGGAGTACAGAGTCGTCAATGTAGTCGAAAATGTAGGGTTTTGAGAGGACTTTATTTTGGTGCCAGACCCAGGCCTGTATCTCTAACCGTTTAGGAGATATCGAAGGTTAAAGTTTTCCAACCTTTCGTTGATATCTCCGCTTCTACTGGGAGTAGAGAGTCGTCAATGCAGTCGAAAATGTAGGGTTTTGAGAGGACTTTATTTTGGTGCCAGACCCAGGCCTGTATCTCTAACCGTTTAGGAGATATCGAAGATTAAAGTTTTCCAACCTTTCTCCGTTGATATCTCCGCTTCTACTGGGAGTAGAGAGTCGTCAATATAGTCGAAAATGTAGGGTTTTGAGAGGACTTTATTTTGGTGCCAGACCTAGGCCTGTATCTCTAACCGTTTAGGAGATATCGAAGATTAAAGTTTTCCAAAATTTCTCCTTTGATATCTCCGCTTCTACTGGGAGTACAAAGTCGTCAATGTAGTCGAAAATGTAGGGTTTGAGAGGACTTTATTTTGGTGCCAGACCCAGGCCTGTATCTCTAACCGTTTAGGAGATATCGAAGATTAAAGTTTTCCAACCTTTCTCCGTTGATATCTCCGCTTCTACTGGGAGTAGAGAGTCGTCAATGTAGTCGAAAATGTAGGATTTTCAGAGGACTTTATTTTGGTGCCAGACCCAGGCCTGTCACAAACACACACATGCAAAATCTATTTGCAATTCGCATTGACTCGAACGATATTTTATCTCCCATAGTCCCACATCCGTCATGCGGAATTTTGTTTATCTTTTCATTTTGCATTTACTCACCGAAACGACTTGCAGTCAGAGCCGGCCACGTTCCGCTTCAACTCTGTAACAAAAAATTCACATGCGCTTATCAGATTTGACCAACGAGTGCAGGCGAATAAAAGAGTAGTTTACCCTCTGCGATCGTAATTCAAGTCGAGCCGGAAATTATATCCCAGCTCTAGATCGCCAAGGGTCAAACAGAGGACTATAGTAAACTTGTAGTAAACTTACCTTCAAGCCGACTCTGCTTGGCCAGAACCGGAGCCTCCGGTGCGGCATCCGCGCCCGCCGGATTGCTGTTGCTTTTCGCAACAACTGAAACAGAAAAATAATTTTCCCGGTTGATAACCTGCGGTAGAGAGAAAATATCTTTGATCAGAACAAATCGAAAATACGGAAATATTTTGATACGGAATTTTTATCTTTATGTTTTGGTTCCAACATTGGAAATTAAATGGGACTTGAAGCTTTCAAGGAGCTGATGAGGAAGAAGTTGCAAAGGCGAAGATCATAAAGGGTTGAACACAGATGTGTAGGAAACTTGTAAACTTTACCTTCCGACCGACTCTGCTTGGCCCGAACCGGATCCTCCGGTACGGCATCTACATCTGTCGGATTGTTGTTGCTTTCCGCAATAACTGAAACAGAAAAGTAGTTTTCCCAGTTGATAACCTGCGGTAGAAAAAGAATATCTTTGATCGGAACGAATCGAAAATACAGAAATATTTTGATATGGGAGTTTCATCTTTATATTTTTGTTCCAATATTGAAGATTTAAATGAGACGTGAAGCTTTCAAGAGAGCTGATGAGGACCAAGTTACAAAGGCAAAGATCGTAAAGAGTTGAACACAGATGTATAAGAAACTTGTAAACTTTACCTTCCGGCCGACCCTGCTCTGCCCGAACCGGATCCTCCGGTGCGGCATCCGCGTCCACCCGGACTTGCTTCCCGCAACGTCTGGAATAAAAATGTAGCGTTCTTGGTTGGTAAGCTGCGGTAGAGAAAGAATATTTGGTCGGGATGAGTGGAGAATATTCGTTACGATTTTTTTTCTTCATTGACATTGAAAGTCTAAATAGAAGTTCTTGAAAGAGCTGACGAAAGAAAATGACACCAAGAAGCGGAGACAACAGTTGCGTGCTCTCGAAAATACTCTTTTACAAATGGACATTTAAATTTAGATTCCGTAACGAGAGTAAACAGACTTGAAAGAAGCGCTGACCGAAAACAAAAAAGGTCACAGTCTAAGAAGAAGGTATGACGTTGAATATTCTACACAAGACCGGTATACTCATACAGTTGGGAATTATTCAGAATGTTTGATTGAGAACGTGATGAATTAGAGATCCGCGTTCACGGACCGTTATTCGTTTCTGTCTGGATCAATATCTTTTGTATACAACAACAATAACTAGATAACAACAATAAATAGATAGATAGAGATTGACGAGAGTAATTGCAAATTCATAAAGTGATGATTCCTAGTCGGATGATGACGGATCGTGAATGCCGAGCGCGAAATTCCGACTGCTTATTCCCGGAAAATTCGTCAAAAAACGTCCGCTCTCGTTATCGGAGGCCTCCCGCATAATAAATGATTCCATATACCTGGAAACGTGACGTATTGCTGCCGGCGTCCTGTTTCCCGGCTGCTGGAGTCCTCCGGATTTCACTCGCTCACGCTTCTAATGCCGATACTCGCGATTCGACCGTGCGGTTAATCAACGTGATGTCGACGCAATGCGGATTAAGTATCTCGAGGACCGACGAGATACATTTCTTTTAATTACGCGAGACGGAAGTAACGAGCGCGTCGCGCACGGCTGCTGTTGACGGAATGAGGTCGAATACACGAGGTGCGCGAGTATTATAATGCGAAGGGCAAACAGTGTCGTCGCTCGCGAGCCGATCAACACGATCGGCGCGATGTAAACATTGCGGGCCTCGGCGGCGGTTGAAGCAAAAAGGGACTTGTCCTTGGATGTCTCTTCTTTTCTCGAAAGTTCCGGAACGACAAGGGAAACTTTCCAACGAGGTCTTTCAACTGTACGCAACATTGATGTATTCTATTTATTGATTACTGAAAATAAAGAAGATTACTCTGTCGAAGCACCGAACATTTGTTAGCTTTATGTTAATTAAAGAGGAATGTGTTAGATTAGAAAATGTGTTAACAACTAATTGTACAGAGTGTCAAAGTTGTTATGATGCTGTGTTCGGAGAATAATTAAAGGTCATGGTAACGTTAAAGAGTGGAATTTCATCCCATGCGAATTTTGTCTCATTCTTATTAAATGTTAGTCCTGTATAAAATGTCGTATTTAAAATTATTGTTATGTCGTATTTAAAAGTATTGTTTCGCATTCACGAGATTGTGTCGTGAATTCTGTTTTGCGTGAATCTCAGATTGGATCGCGGGCCAATACTTTTCAATGCGACGGGGAATAGAACGTGAGAATCTTGTATGCTTCTGAATCCGAAAATAATTAGGAGAAGTGAATACTTTTCAATACGAAAGTTCGTATTTGAAAATTATCGATTGCGATTGAATACAAGGCATGTTTGAAATGAATTGAATCCTTATTAATGCGAAGCATTCACCACTGCCATCTCGCATTTAGCGCGGTGAAATTTAATGGGAACTAATACTTTTTAGTCCCTTTCTTCAGATCAGAAAGTAGAATTCAGATGTCAATATTCAAAATGTCAGTACTTTTTAATATGTTTCAGTTCGACATTTTATACAGGGAGATTATCCGCTGCGGACAATAACTCTTCTACTTTTCATCGAATATTCAATGATGATAAATAACATTTAATTGCATTCGTTTGGCTTTTATTATTTCGAAAATAAAAAAATATATACCAGGGTGAGATTTTACCCATGACAACATCGACGTGATTTTCTTTGATGCTTTTTTTGAAAGTTCAAATATTTCGTCGACTCGCGGGATATTTATAATCGGAGTCTCGTCGCATTAATTAACATGTGCTCCTCCGAGCGGATCGAATGCTCACCGACGGCCACTGTCAGTGCCACGAGCGAATGTCCGGAGCGGACGGAATGCTGAATTGAGAAGCAGGACGAAGGGAACGGAACGCGGGCAACGATACATCATGCGTCTCCAGACATGTCAAATCGTTTATTATAGAGGAGACTTTGATACGACAACATGTATTCGAAGATTTAACATTTAATACGTACTTTTATTTTCTCTGTTCCTCCCCTCTTCCTCCCGCTCTTTTTAGACTACCGGGCATAGTCTGGTATAGAGGTGGCAACTGTGGTTGCAGCACGGACATAAACCGCCTGAAAATGGATGTAGCACGGACTTCCACCACATGCAGATTTTACCACCGAGACCTGAAAGTGGATGTAGCATCGTATTTTTTCCCCTCTCGAAATGGATGCAGATGGCGTCCTTTCCCAGAGCGGAAAGTCGGTGTCGCAGAAAATGTCGTGTTGGCCGCTCTCAGATTTCTCTCTGGGCTGCTATTCTGTAACTACTTATCGACAGTTGTCGGTGTCGTTAGCGGCATTGCGCAGGTTTTTCATATAACAAAAAAGCTGCGCAATGCTGCTAACGACACCGACAACTATCGGTACGCGAGTACGGAATACAGCCCCTCGGTGCGATTCTTTAACTCATTATTGGAGTTAACGACAGTTTCATTATCGTTGTGCAGCTTTTCTACGGTACACAAAAGCTGCGCAACGATAACGTAAGTGTCGTTAACTCCAATAACGAGTTACAGAATCGTACCACTGCTTTCTTTCTGGTTTTGCTTGTCTCGACGAGTACTACAGAATGTAATTTAAGACGAAATTTTGAATTTCAGGAAAGCCAATAATATCACAAACATTTTATTTAATTTCCAATCCTTTTTACTTTGTTCACAGAATATCCATAAGGTACGATATTTCTCATCATGTTCAGTCAGGGAGCTTTGAATATCGCCTCCTATAGTACATGTGAAAATAATTTACGACTCAAGCAATATTTCTCAATGTTAAAAGAAATATATCGACTTGTAAAAACGTATACGCACTTAATTCTCTATAAAATACCCACAGTAACAATAACAATAACAATAATAATTATAATGTTGATGATCACGATTATGATAATGATGATAATAAAACGCTCGACGAATCTAAAAGTTATCATGGAATCTATTTTACACTTTTACAAATCATAAAGTTAATAGTTACGCGAGAGATAAGTACTGCATTAGATGGTACAAATGATATATCATTGTATGATTATTATACGCGATATCGTACATAATATGCGTACGCTCTGGAATACACAAGATTCAAAGCTGCAGTGGTATTCTCTATACTACATTGAACGATATTTTAAATTTGTCTCGATATTTTAAATCACATCTTAAGCCACTCATCGTTTGCAATAATTATAGCAGCAGATCGATGTGATCTCAAAATAGCTTTAGGTAATAGGAAACTATAGTGTCCCATCAACTTGCCACTATGATTATTCTTAAATGCAACGTTCTAATTTCTCAATCAATAAGAGAAAATATCGTTAACGTGATACGGAAGGCCGCTGCAGTTTGCACGATACCAGAAACATGTTATGATATATGTACAACGAAAATCATGAATCTTCAGTGTTACAAGTTCCAACCTCTACATAATATCATTTGTTGTACAGCGATTAATGTACAACGACAATTAATTACTTTATTGCAACCGGTCTTCTATTATTTACACAGCGTCTTCTAGATTTTTTTGTACCCTCTGCCATTTTGCCACCATGGTCGACATCTCCTTATGCTTCTTGCTAATGCTGATTCTCGACTAAAATTACGTAATATTCAAACATGGGTCAATTTACAAATAAATTGAAAATTAATTTTCTTGATCTTAACTTGCAAAGTAGGCAGATGAAATGCGTGTAATTTGATGATATAAATATTATATGTTCTTTTCAAAAGGAAGACTAGAGTATCAAGAGAGTTTCGATTGCTTTGCAATGAACATGTCCACTACCTTCTTCCTTTTCTTCTCCTTTGTCGTTGTATCGCAGCAAGGCACGGATTCCGGTTCCGTTTCTGGCAGTTTTGCTTCCTCCATACTTGGTGCGGATATTTGCTCCATTACCACGACATCTTGATGTTGTGCTGCTGCCCGTTCCGTTTCCGTTTTTTCAATACGCGCGATATCATTGTAAAAGGAGTCGAGAGCGGATCCTAGGGATTCTTTCGCGGCTTTAACTGGGGGTTTGGCAATGATTTTGTTGTTCGAGTACATTGGCGTGTATCCTAGCATGAACTGAATTGCACTCTGCCCACTGTGTTTGTTCGCAACTGCGATCGTAGCTGTCTGCTAATACACGGGAAAAATTATAATATTAATTGGGCATATTTTGTAGATAAATGTATCTTAGTTGCAAAGATGTTATATTGAAAATTGAGTGGACGCCGTAAGTAATGATCTCACACAGCATTTTCATTCAAGAGGTCTGGTCTCTAAATCGCTCGAAAAATTTTTCGATGAAATTGGGTCAATTGCGAGTTCTTTAACATATTTTGTGTGTAAATTTCCTAATATCATTGTAATTAAGAAGCATCCTTACATTGTGCAAATGCTGATGAAAGGCTGGGTAATGAACAAACGGCTCCTGCAGCAAGCCCGGCTGATGACTTAAAATAGGTATCGTCGGGTCTGGTATTGAAGGTGCGTAAATCGGGTTACTTTGTTGGGACGTTGCGTTGTATATGATTCCCTTCAGGGTTGCAGCTTCGTAAGAGGTGTCTGGCAAATCTACGCCCGGTGGTAGAGGCTCCATATTCGTATGATTTGCAGGTATCGAAGTCTGCGGTGATACAGCTGCTTGCGGATGCGTGTAGGACAAGGATTCCAAGGCTGGATTCACTGCTTGCGTCGTATCCAGATTCATTATCCTGTCTGCGAGCAATATATCCAAATTTCATATTATAGTTCATTAATCATTATATCTATGATATAGTAATGCGCGGTAAAAACCATCTATATAGAATTATTGTTTCGTGATAATTCCTTACCTTTCCCCAAACGCTTTCTCTTCATGTCCAAAGACTTGTCGTCGGATTTCTTTCTTTTTCTCTTGTCCTTCTTCAAGTCCTCTTCAAATATCCTTGGAGGCGGCGGCGGACTCGGATTAGATATCTGTGGTGGAGGTGGGGCTTCTATATCCGTAGAACGTCCCTCCGTTGCGTTTTCGTCGTCTGCCTTATTATCCTCTTCTTCAGCCTGCTTCTCCTTCGGCTTCTTCGTGCCAGGAGATCCTAACACGAAAAAATCCAAAGGATTAATAATTTCATTCGTAGACTTCCCGTTGACAAGGTCCTACGTAAATGCATCTAGAAATACCTGTGACTGATAACTCTTCCGATTCTGGTGGCGGAGGAGTCGTGCATAATTCCATCTCCTCAGTGCCACCGGCAATTCCAGTGTCAGGATAAGTCCACTGTGACGTTCCAGTGGATGTATTGTGATAGAAGTACTGCTTCTCAGACCTAGAAAAATCCCCCGCCAAAAAGCAGCATATGAGATCGCTTTCTAGTGACGTTTTTGTCATTCGTAAGTAATTTCTCTATGTTACATCCATATACACGCTTAAGTAATGTTTCCGTGACGAAACATTCGTTCACGCGATATCGTCCGTCACCAGATTTCTTACAATATGAAACAATATGAAAAATTATAGAACATAATCTAGTATAACACTCCTACCTGCGATGCCGTGTCTCGTTTTTACCCAACGTAGGCCTTTCAGTTACAGAAGATGGGAGATAATCATGTAATTATGAGAGCGTGTTCTCTCTCGTGGAGCAAACGTTAATGCAAAATAAAGAAGTGAAAGGGAAATGAGGGATCGTGACTAAGTGTGAGGGCAATTATGATAAAAATTAAGTCCCGATAATATCTGGCTTATCTCTGTGATGTCTGTGTGGTCCCAAAAATTACCAGATATTAATAAAATATAATAGACATGTGTGATAGTACTTACATCGTTACGTTCAGTTTGTCGTTCGTCATCGAATAGATTAACGAACGTGTAATGTCAGATAAATTTTTTGTGCGATTTGATGCGCGAAGAATAATTTGATATTTTTCTCTTTATTTTTTGTTTTATTAAAAAAATTAGATCCATAAAGGTAATATATACCTAATGATGGCACATATACTCTTGAAACTTACAATATTTCTATGATAAAATATTTCTTGATAAATAGTATTGAATCTATATTTTTACACGTGTATACGACATATACAAAAATACTAACGTGTGAATTCATTTGTGATATTTTCAATAATTATATATCACTATGAAAATTGTAACAACGATAAAATACTCGATTAAATGCTCTCATAGTTGCTCTGTGAAAGTAATTCTTCGAAATTCTTTCGCTACATACTTTATTATAGTTAAAACGCGAATAATTAATTGACGCGACCAAAGAATATTGGAATTATTGTCACTTCTCACTCTTTTAGTATCTTCTTATCTTCATTTCAGAAATTTTACTTCAGCTTTGCACTTTTCTCGTAACCGTTCGTAAGCACAAACAATTCCTTAATCCGAGTAACTCGTGCTTGTTACTCAATTGTTGCAGTAGTGTTTGCATTATAACAGATTGTAATATCACTCGACACGTATAATTCATCACATTGACAAAATCACAAGGTCAATGACCTTTTATATTTTACGTAGGAAAGAACGATCACTCAATTTAACACTGAAATAATAAATCACTCTTTACAAGAGACTGCAATTCTTACAGGAGACTGCTCACTTGTGACTGCGTCACTTAGGCTAAACTGCTCCGTATGAAACAATAAAAATATATCAGCCGCATCATTGCTTTAGACTTTAGGAATAAAAAAGAAAAAAAGAAAAAAGAAAAAATATATACCTGCGTACATTAAAATAATATCCGTATATAATGCGACAATTGACTGTTTGTCATAAATATTATTAAATATTACCAAAATATTACTGAATTAATGATTACTGATTTACTTTAGTTTGAGCGTGATTAAGAAAAAATGTGAATCGTAGAAAAACAAATTTGAAAATATCACGTATTTGAGTATACACAGACACACGCAAATGACGTCTTAAAATATCTGAATATCCTTGTTTGGAAGTGCTCTACACAAATTGTCATAAATATTAAAATGCTCAAAGTATCCTTGAATATAATGTACCTACACCTTAAAGAAAGATAGCCAAAGAAAAGAAGAGATAGAGAAAGATCTGTTAATTAACTAATTCGTATCTTATATAGATTTTCGTTCTATATATGAAGCAAATTTTTCCGGTGATGAATGAGATTATGTAGTAATACATGACAATTGCATGTATGAGCTCTCGTATAAATATATATACGTACATATATACATACATATATATATATATACATACATACATATGTAGATATACGTACTTTTTCTATAAATTAATGATACATATAAAGCCATTAAACATATATGTTATATATGTGATATATCTATATTTACATAGAAAAATAATAATGCAAATTGCGAATGGAATACTGTACCTATCCCATTGACATAGCCAACCAGCTGGTGCTGCATCTTGTTCTAATCTTTCCAATTCATGATTTGTATTAGTCAGCCACTTTTGAAAGTAATTTTCCTCTAAGCTACCTGCTCCCCATGCAGCAGATAATGTCTATAATATAACGATAGAACATAATTAATTTACATTAGTATTTCAGCATACCAGATATTAATTCTTCTATCTCAAAACGACTTTTGTACAAAAATAAAAACAGTATAGAAACATGTACATTTAAAATAATAAATAAAATGTCATAATACAAATGTCTTCCTCGTCTATACGCCCTCGTCTATAAATGAATATTTACTTGTAACTGAATTTGCATTGTCTGGACAGCGGAAACGCTGTCTCTTCCCTCGGAAAGAAATTTCAATTTCTCCGTTATAATCTGTGATAAGTTATTCATTTCCTCGTTGACTCGTTCTTCGATTACATTGGACGTTATTTTATATTCCGTAGGTACTTCCGAATCACTAGATTCCTCCTTAAGACCGAGCTTTTCTTCAGGCTTATCGCTAATGTTTTGCTCCGTCTCTTCATGTATCTCTTCGCACTCCTTTGGACCTTCAGTACACGATTGACTACACATTTCTGTATCGCCGTCATCAACACTGCGAGAAGTAGCTCCATTGCTCGTGGGGTCACTATTATCATCCTGAATCGTGTTGTCGTTATTTTGTTTAATTTTGCTGGATGTAACTGAAATTGTAGTAGCTATTAATCATCTATAAATGCAAAACACAAAGATATCTTTACAAAATTAAAATTTATTGGCAAGGATGATTCAAAATATGTTACTGTTGATGAGAATTATTAAAAATAACAAGTCTCTGTGATTACTCTGAAGAATCAAAAACAGGTGAAAATAATCAATACGATACCGTCAAATGCTATTCGCTTCTTCCGTTGGAAAGCCTTTCCGCACATTTGCATGTCCTCGAGGAATATATTAGTCTTCATCTTGTCCTCGTCCGCCTTCGATTCCTTCTCTTCCGTTTTTTCATGATCCCCTTTTATTTCTCGAGTATCTGCATTACCGTCGTTACTTTGATCGGAACTTTGCACATTGCTAGAACTTTTCGTGAGAGCGCTGTGAGTATCCTTCAATGTGTTGGTCGTGCTTGCATAATCTTCGTCTTGGGCGATCGGAAACAGAGGTTTTATCTCCTGCTTGGGTCTCGTTTCTTCTTCTACGTCCGAATCGTCTCCATAACCAGGCACCAAAGAAACGTTGATATCTAATTTTGGAACCATGTTGTGCTTTGTACTTTTATCCTTTCTACCTTTATTCTCCGTAGAAAATTCTTTCTCTCCTTGAAGCATAGTATTATTGCTATCGGACTCAACCGTTTTGTTCTCGTCAGACTGGTCGGATTGATTCGTCGAACTTGATATGTTAACCGATTTTGTTGAGTCAGGTTTATAAGGATGAGACAAATTTTTAGCAGACGATTGCATTCCCACAGGACAAAGCGCAGGTCCTATTTCATTACTCTTTGGGTACGACACAGAATTTGAATTTCTTGATTCAGATGGTAATACCGACGTTTTCTTTTCATCCGAGGAATTATTATCATCCTCCGAGTCGCTCCCATCGCTACCAAAGGATGTTATCATTTCTATCCGTCTACAAAAAGTAACAGTATATTTTTTAAATTACAAACAAAATCCTATACAATCCTATATTAATACTTTATCTCAATATCATACCCATCGTCAGAATCATCATCTTTCGAAGGAGATTCGTTTTTTGTCTCCACTTTACTTTCCGAAATACATTTCTTTGGTGTCTCCTTGTGGATAAATCTGTTACGATTCCTTGCTACTACTTCCTGTGGTATCATGCCCTCAGGAATATTTGCTTGCGACTGTCGATCTACAACAATCACTTGTTAATAATATCTTGCATTATTAAGTAAAATATTACTTGGAATTAAAAAATTTATAATTTACATGCAATAGATGAAAATTCCATCCAATGAGGACTCTGAATTGAAGGTTTTATCACAGATTCCATTTCAGATTGTTTCCTTATCAGGCGTAATTCCTCTGGCATGTCCCATGTTACCTCATCAGTTTCGACATGCCAGTAATAAGGATAACCACTAGATTCGTCATAACATTCTTGCCATACTAAAGTCACATAAACATCTCTAAACATTGTACAGTGTTTATAAGTTAACTTGGTGAATTTATTTAATAAAATTCTCTCTTACATGTTTGTTGACCTGTACGATGTATAGATTGTGGATTCATCTTAACTGCTAAGTTTGGATCTTTAGTAACATTACAAGTGGGTTGTTTTGGAGCAATAAGTTGAATTTCCTACAGGACATATATAAAATTAAATTTCTATATATAGAATACATATCACTGTTTATCTAATAGATAAAATGTTAAGTATATCAGGAAACTGATAACAAATTTGGATAGTTGGATAATTACCTTAAAGAAATCATTGACTTCATCATCCAATTTCTGTACATCTTTCTTGGAATCCTCTGTATCACTGTCAGAATTATACTGACATAATAAATTGGCCAATGGATTTTCAACTTCATTTTGTATAGGTTGTACACTGTTTGTTGGCTTGTATCTACCTATAACAAAATATTATTTATGATATATAAATATAAATAATATGTACAAGTTATGTCACATAATAATTTCCTATATTATGTCACATAATAATATCCTATATTAATTTGTGAATTTATCTATAACATAAAAATGATGCAACCATCGATAATTGTAAATAATTATTAATTTGTATATTTAGATCAAAATTAAAAAAAAATATTTACTCTGAACGTATTCGATGTAATAAATACCTTGCGGCTTATCTATCGTTAACACCGGCCTTCTCTGACGTCTCTTCATAATAAAAATACAAGAACAATTACTAATTCTTACGAAGAATCCTAAAAGCAATTCACAGCGCGGAACACACTCTTTGGGTACAACCACAACTTTTGCTCACGTGCGTTTCGATGTGCAAATGTACATATTGTAGTACAACGTACACATTCATATGCCACTTTCATAAACTAATTAGGAGCAGTGTTTCTATACTGCGAGAAAGTAATTATTATAAAAGACTCGTACATACACACTCATCACAACCTAACTTAACCTAAAATATCCCTTCCACCTTGAGCAAGTATAACCAATAGGCCTGTTCGTTTTGTCTGCACTGCTGAACCGATGCATTAAGTTAAAGTGAGACAAACGTAGGTTTTCTCACTTCAACTTGTTGCACCAGTTCAGCAGTGCAGACAAAACGAACAGGCTTAATATAAAGCCAGCGGCACACGGTGTTTGTTTTCGTGCTGGATTGCTTGCTGAATGAAAATACTGCGTTCTGATTGGTGCATTTCCATCCATCTTCGGAAATGTACCAATCAGAACGCAGTATTTTCATCCAGCAAGCAATCCAGCACGAAAACAAGCACCGTGTGCCGCTGGCTTTAAAGATGATGATCCCTCAACATTTAAATTTAAAGTCTGTGAGTACAGTCTGTAACTTATACCTCAAATTGAAATAATTAAACACATTAAATATTAGTAAGAATACAAATATAAATAAGTAATAGCGTTTTTCATTGGGAAAATGAGTGCGCACTCAATGCGCACTAGTCGTGGACGATGTGGTTCATTGGGAATTTCAGTGCACATTAAAATCATACGTCGTGTTTCATTGGAAAATGTAGTGTCGAGTTTTTGCACTTTCGTGCACAAATTCGGCACGAGCTCGGAGAGATGGTGTCGGTTGAGTGCAAAACATGGCGGCGCAGAACAGAGATGTTTTGAATGAACAAACGTATGTGATAATTTCGGATTTCCTTTCATCTTCATCCAGCAGTGATGAAGATGAGTATTTTCTTCGAAATCCGAGGCGAATTGTTCCTAAAATGAAAAACTTTTTGCAAATAGTACATCAATATTCTGATCACGACGTAAGTTTATTGTTATAATTTAGCTTGTGAAAATAAAAGTAGAAAGTAATTTTTATTTTTGTTGTAGTTCAAATCCCAGTTTCGAGGGCAACAGCATATGATATTATAAATAATTTCGAAAATTCGACGTTCTATTCTGGTGATACAAGCCACGGAGGTATTAAACCGTCCTCTGCTGAATCACACGTTTTATCTTTTTTGTGGTAAGTTTTACATATACATGTATAGTTTTTAATTCATCCACCACTCATATTATATATATATATATATATATATATAATATTAAAAAGATTTCAAAAAATATTACTTTGTATAGGTTTGCAGGAAATAAAGTGTGCTTAAGAGATGTTGCACAAAGATTTGGAGTATGCGCTACAACGATTTTTCGACAAAATAAAAAAATGATGGATTTTCTATGCGATATAGCTGGAAACGTCATCAAATTTTCTGACAAAGAAAATACTGCAAACGAATTCCTTCAAGTATGTATATTTAATTAATGTATTTTAATGAAGCTAAAGCTAGCAGCCGATTCATAGCTGAATTATGAAAGCAGTAGTTTTTAATTATTATTTAATAAATGTCAATTTCTTGTTAATTAATTATTTAATGCTAAAAATTTTTCTATTATTCTTTAGTTCTAAACAGTGCTTATGCGAATTTGCTACTAGTTTCAGCTTTATTGTATTTTATGTATGTTTTTCTAATGAGTTATTTAATGTATATGTATATAAAATTGAAGATTGCAGGATTTCCGAAAGTTCTTGGCTGCATTGATGGGACTTTCATTAAAGTCCGAACGCCAGCCCACAAAATAAAATCGACATATGTAAATAGACATGACATCCCTTCGATAACATTGCAGGGCATATGTGATGCTCGAAAGAGATTTATAGATACATTTACAGGAATCCCGTCGAAAATTCACGATGCGCGCGTACTCAAATTATCAGATATATGCGACGAGTTGCCAGGAATATGTGAAGGCGGAAAATATCACATTCTAGGCGATGGAGCGTATCCAATAAGAGAATGGCTTATTATACCATTTAAAGACTACGGAAATCTGTCTGCAAAGGATAAACAATTTAATAAAATGCTGTCTGCGACTCGAGTATTGATCGAGAATGCGTTTGGACTGTTGAAAGGTCGTTTTCGACAATTAATCGAAGTAGATCTACATACTGTTGATAAAATATCAAAATTTATTACATCATGTTGCGTTTTGCATAACTTATGCATAGACAACAACGATAACTTTGATGTCGATATTGTTATAGAAAACAATGAAGATTATAATAATGAAGGCAGAGGTCAACAAGAAGCTCTATTACGAAGATTAGGGGAAGTAAAAAGAAACCAATTGATGAATGTACTTTTTCCATGAAATAAAAATTAATACAATATGAAATTATCAAACGTTTATTTGTCCTGTGGCAAATAAGTACATACTTTCCAATAAAAAGCAAAATATATAAAAACAAAGCATATTTTTTTTATAACACGTACATATTGATTATTTTTTCAAAATTCATATATTATATCTCTTATTTATTTCATAAACATGTAATTTTTTAACATACACGCTTTTTCAAAAAGTTTGATTGTAAAATTAAATAACACTGTTTTAAAATTAAATAACACAATAAGTTTACTTTATACTGGTTCATACTTAATAGTCTGAGCAGTACTATATCTTTCGTAAAGTGCGAAAATCAAAATATGCATACGCTAATATTAAAAACCAGTAATATTAAAAACAAAGACATACAATTAGTAAACGTACAAAATTATAAGAGAAAAAAAAATAATTAAAATTATATATCACATCCAGCGTTTTAGTTAGGAACTTTCATATTAACATATGGTTCAGACTGATTTTACATTAGTCTTTCTTTGGTTTTTTTTAATATTTGCTTGTTTCTGTATCATCTTACTTTAGTTCCCACTACTTTTGTTTGGCGAACAACTCCCGTATTAAATTCAACTTTTCTTGGTGACGTCTTTCTTTTGCCGCTTCTTTATTTTTCCAGTATTCCATCCTTTTATCAATATCACTTGGTTTCGATTTTTTTGTCTTCGGTGGTGAGCTATCAGTAGAATGTGTAGAGGCACTATCATTGCAGATTTCTTCCGACATTCTTGTATTCAATTTAGGATATTTAACGCTCCTTGCATTTCGCAACACCTCGGGCTCAATACTATCGTCCGAATGAGCAATTTTACGCAATTCTTCTTCGAATGGTACATCCTCTCTAGAGCTGCCTGATTTAGAGTTGTTCTCAACTGCTTTTTTTTTCCTTTTGAGAACGGTTTTATACCGATTTTCAACTTGAAGAGGAGTTTTTAATACGTCCAACATCGTCAGCATATCTTTTGAAATTTGCGCCCACATCAATTTTTTAGTTTTGAATTTTTTCATGGGACCAATATCCGACATATATGTTTCATATTTATCGAGAAGAAACGATGTTCCTGAATTGCTCCAGTAATCTGAAAATCACGTTGTTTAATGATTAATACAATAGTCTACATTATAGCACCAGTAAACCTATTAGTAGGTATTACAATAATGTAAAAATTTTGTGAAGTCAAAGATTTTAAAAAATCTTTTATATTTTATATTACATTTTTCATATTATATTTATTTCATTTATATTATATTTATATATATTCTATTATACATATATATTGTATGTATTTTATTTGTTAATAACATATTTAGATTATATTTATTAACGTATCATTCTTCGTTTCGTATCGTATTCATTTTCTGCTCGAATATAACAAATACCATATTTTATAGTACATTATCATAGTGCTATGAATAGTCGTAAATGCTTTATTAAAACAGATTTACCGCTACTCTTCTTTCCTTTTTTATCGTACTCCTGCGATTGTGATTCATTCTGATCATATTCCTGTGATTCAAAGGATTCAAACATGAGTGCTTCATTTTCTTTATTCTACTCCGATAGCTGATCTTCATTGCTGCGATTATCACCATGAATATTCGCGTGGAATATCAATTGTTCTCTGTAATACAAAATATATTGACATTTTACACTGCCATATACAGGGTGAGTAAGGATCCTCTGCAACAAACTTAGACAGATTGTTTGGAAAGTCATTCTGATTAAAAAATGTCATATGAATATAGATCCTATTCTTAATATTTACAGACCTCAAATGTTCGACAGAATTTGACAATCACTGCTACGATGGTGTAATAAAAGTAATCAGATTCAGAATAAACACTTTGAACAACTCCTGTAAACTGTCCGCAAGGATACTTGAAGAAATAAATGCATAATTCATTTCATAACTGTACATGTCACCTAAATTTTACAACTTCTGTAACTATGTAAATATTAAGAATAGGACCTGTGTTCATATAACATTTTTTACTCAGAATGACCTTCCAAACAATTTGTCAAAGTTCGTTGCAGAGGTCCTCTGACTTACCCTTTATTTTTTTTTTAATTTTTTTTCTGTTGTGTACATTTGAATTCTGTAGAACTTTGATTCTTTGAAGAAATAATGAAAAACAAGATTGCTTGGAATTAATATATGTATGTAAGAAACTGAAGAGTTCCTGTTTACCCTAAAGTAAACTTACTTATTTTTTTAAAGTAAACTTGTAAAATAAAATGGTAATTATATTTTATAAAATAAACTTTGCTCTTAACTTCTTAATGTGCTTTTTCGGAAGATTTTGATAGCTTGCAATTAATACATCTCAAAAAAATTTTACTTACTCATCTTCAATCACTCGAGATATTTCTTCAATTTTCTGATTTTCGCTTCCATGTAGAACACACAATCCATTTTTAATCATAAGTTTTATATATTGTATGCTATAGGTATCGTCATCTGAAATTAATTGACACAAGAATCAATAATATTCAGTTAATATTCTTTTATGTATATATTTTTGAATATCAAATGAATTGTGTTTTACAAGCTTTACAAGGGGTTATATATGCATTCAAGTTTTTCGAGTAGACAATATCCAAAAACTATTATGTACATAAGTACATATGTCTTTGCCGATAATTTATTTATACTACGGGAATAACCTCAAAATCCAAAATCATGCAAGTCCTATATAATTCTATACTTACTCATTATTTTATTGTATAACTCTGTTTCGCTTGATAGAAGTTTTAACGAGAGCATGTCATTATTGACTTTGAAAGAAATGCTTAATTCTTCTGATTGTTCCATAGTGAAGTTTACGTTAATGCATATATTTTCTTTCAATCCGAGGCGAATCGGTTCTTATGCGCACTCATTAAGTCATAAGTGTTTCATTGGGCGTGCAAAAAAACTTGCACTGTCGGTAAACTCGGGTAGTGTCGCCTAAACTCCACGAGTTCTTAATGCGCACTCAGTGCATCCCAATGAAAAACGCTATAAAATATATACAAAATTGAAAGATCTCTTCCAACGACAAGACACTAATAAAAATCGTTGGTAACAGCGAGGTAATAGAACCGACGAAGCAATATCATCGACGAAGTAAAATATCGTCGACGATATAATACTAAAGACTGTCAGATTGCGAATCTTGCAAAACAGTATGGGACTTTTATGTTTGTTTTAAACCAATCTACCTTCACACCTCGGCTTAGCAGCTAATTACCGGACACCCTATATATTTAATTTAAACATAGTATTATGTTAATATATCAAAATATTTTATTGGGTAGTGCGTATTTTTTCATATCATTTTTTATAATTATGTAATATTAGTGTATACACATGTTCGTTAAAATATAAATAATGTTTAATTTTATAATGATTATTAGTATCACACGACGTTTAGTTCGAACTTAACATGTTAATGTATTCGAAGATTTAATATTTTAATAATACGTACTTTTATTTGTTCCTGCTCCCTCCCTCCCCCCGCCCCGCTTTTCTAGACCTTCAGGCAAAGTCTGGCATAAAGGTGGCAACTGTGGTTGTAGCACGGACATAAACCGCCTGAAAGCGATGGATGTAGCATGGACTTCCACCACATGTAGATTTTACCACCGAAACCTGAAAATGGATGTAGCATCGTAAAGCCCTAAACACAATGCCAGACAACAGGCAATAAGAATAAAAATAGACCAATCACAATCGACTATTAAAAGAATAATCTATTGTGATTAGTCTATTTTTATTCTTATTGCCTGTTGCCTGACATTGTGTTTAGGGCTTAAGGGCCAGAGCACAGACTTCTGCATAACGCATAATACACAACGCATAAGAGAATCAACCAATCAGAGCTCTTCATTCCCCTCCTCAGGACAGAAATGAAGAACTCTGATTTGTTGATTCTCTTATATGCGTTGTGTATAAAGCCCGTATCAGACTACGGATTGGGATTGAGTATTGGATTGAAATTTAACCAATCAGGAGTAAGTTTACTATACTTGAGATTATTTTCTCTTTTTCAATTGGTCAAATTTCAATCTAATCTCAATCCCAATCCATAGTCTGATACGGGCTTTAGGCCCCTTGCACAATGCCAGGCAACAGGCAATAAGAATAAAAATAGACCAATCACAACAGATTATTCTTGTAATAGTCGATTGTGATTGGTCTATTTTTATTCTTATTGCCTGTTGCATTGTGTTTAGGGCTTTATGCGTTATGCAGAAGTCTGCGCTCTGGCCCTAATTCCCCTCTCAAAATGGATGCAGATGGCATTTCCCATGTCCTTTCCCAGTGCGGAAAGTCAGTGTCACAGAAAATGCCGCTCTCAGGTTTTTCAGTCAGGCTTAAATATAAGACCTGACTATGAATACCGGCCTAAATGTTATTTACGAACATCTTCATTTGTGTTAATAACTTTTTAATAAACATGGAGCGACGGCTAAAATCTTCTGAAGGTTCTTCCGATCCCTATGATATAAGCTAAAATCAAGTTCATAGAAATGAAGTATGTGTGTAATTGATATATTGATTGCATTTAATGCACAATCCTGCACATACAAACTTGTATTCTGCTACAGATGTATTAAATTCATCGTAAGTATCAAAGATAAGAATATCTTCAAGAATCCCAATATCTTATTTCTTTATCATTTCTTATCCAGATAATTAACAATCTGCGTCAAGCACAGCCCAATGATATTTCATTGTGATCTATTGTTGATATAGGCTAAATCGCAATTATTTCAACTGCCAGTAGCTATCCAGCAAATACATATTGTAATTTCCTACTCAACAATATAACTGTTATATAACACATATGTTATATAATAATTATATTGTTGAATAGGAAATTACAACTAACATGCACGTTACATGTAATATTGTGTTTGCTGGGTATCTTTGCGACTTATTAATTTAAAATCATTGCGGGTCTAATTCAGAATTAGTCAATACATACGATATTAAAATGATCTGTAAACCGATCCAAAGAACCGATCGAAAGTGATAGAAATCAGTGACCCGTGCAATCTCAGTTAAAATCGCAGTCGGGAATGACAGGCGATTTCATAATCTGTCATATTAACAGAAAGCATTGTGCAGGCAATACCAATCAGCTGATTCGTTTGAGAAACAATCTCGGTCTGATAAAATCATACGAACGCACAAATATCCGCGCGCGACGCTGTACCTGTGCGCACGTCGATGCAAACAAATTGTGCAATCGCACAGCGAATAAACAGTCAATCATCTTTGACAGTCTTATCGAACGTTACTATTTTCCATTTTCCGTGACACTCAATCACGATTGACGTTGATCACCGTCATCGGCGTATTATCAGTCGAAATTACGGTAGATTAACAGATGAAACTCTCGATAAGACCAGCACGGAAGCAAAGAGTGTAGAGCATTCCGTAAAACCGCGCGAAGCCATATATACGGCGCGCTTATTCAGAAAATTGCACAAGTCGGCACGCTCGCGTCCACCGACGACGATCTTTACCTCGTCCATTGGGCAATCGAAGATGTTGACCGTTCTCCTTTTCACGATCCTGGCGTTCGCGAACGCGACGCTAGATCCTGAACTCCGAATATTGGCCGACGAGAATTTGGCGAAATTGAAACTCAACGAAGATTTACCGCCGGACGCGAAGCTCAATACTGTAAGTTCATTTTACAGTTCTGTCAAACATTGAATTTTCCTCGCGCTACTTGGGAACAAAATAACCAATAATTGTTGTCGAAGAATGTGAAAATACCAATTAACAAAGTAAATTCTGGAAAATTGCCCAATCAACTAAAGTTGAAATAATGAGGAGAGCAAGAGGAAAAAATTGAAAGAGAAATGCCTGGCTTGTAAGAACCGCAGCCAATATTTTGACATAAATTGCTTTACGTAAATAGTAATTTACGTAATAAGTTATAATTAATTGATAAGTAAAATACGGAGAGGAATTTAATTCCAGGCCGATCCGCCGATTTTGCATTCGGAAAATTCAAGTATTATCGTATTTCTTTGCGCAGATGGAACTGATTGAGAAATATCACTACAAACCTGAGAAGCATGTAGTAATTACGCCCGACGGTTACATTTTGGAACTACATCGCATAGTAGGGAGAACGAATTCCACTGAGCAAAGACCTGTTGCGTTAGTGATGCACGGTCTATTGGCTAGCTCGGCAGTGTGGGTGCTTTCTGAACCTAAGAAAAGTCTTGGTAAGAAGACACACTTCGAATAAAGCATTTTAACGTCTACCTAACTACGGATATTGTCGTCTTATTCCCGAATGAAACATTCATCTGTCTTAATTTGTCCTTAAATCGATGACTGATGGAACGGTCATCAAAATTATCCTTGGATTCATTATTATCATTGTCGTTGAGTGCAAATTGTTGGATATTAATTGAATTATTAACGTATCCATTACAAGTTTGTATCTTTGTTTTTACTTCAAGCCGATTGGATTGTCTTTGAAGAGAGGCGTTACAAAATTCGATGGCCGATGCATTCTTTCGCTCTCTGAAACTGATTATGCGACTGTTGTCGTGGGTTTTTTTTTTTTTTGTAGAACTCATCCGTACTTTATCCCGGATATTTTACATTTTCACTTCGGACTGAATATTCAAAATGGAATTTCAGGATTCATCTTGTCGGACGCGGGATACGATGTGTGGCTCGGCAACGTGCGCGGCAGTATGTATTCCCGTACCCACAAGAACCCGTCGATCGCAAAGGAGGATTATTGGAATTTTAGGTGAGACTTGTATATATATTACACGTGATACACGTAAATGTAAAACACACATACACACATATTACATATTTAATTAACATACATTATACGCGTGCGCATTGAAAATAAGCTGAAAATAAGACGCAAAACATACAAACATACAGCGCGCGTCTAAAGTTTCAATTCAACGTCTCGAAACTTGTTTCAATCAATATTTGCAATCTTATCTTCGAACACTCTTCAATCCTTTTACCGTTCAATGGAAGGGATTAAAGCGCGCACAGAGAGAAAGAGAAAAAGGGAGAACTAATCTTTATTATATATTAACTTTTTCACGTACGCGAATCTCCGCGCACAAATAATCATATCTCAGGGCATGATAACATCGTGATAACAATAAAACAATCGTGACTAATGTTTTCCCACTTCACAGTATTTCATAGTAGATCAATATTAATATTAGACAATAATGAACATGTAATAATCATGATAATTATTTCTCTCTCTTCCCTATAACCTTTGGCCGAGTTTGGCAATTTTTCTTTTAATTTAATTCTCGCCGCCAATCGTCCCTCATCTTTCGGAGCAGCCCGCGGAAAATCTCTTCGCGTTGTCGCGAATAACTGATGCAAGCACAATCGCGTTGATAAACATTCGCGATAGGCTGATAACTCGATTCGAGTGCTATTGTTTTGATTCTGCATTTATTGCACCGTTCTGAATTTGCAAAAAAAGATCGTCGCTTTTGTTGGTAATTAATATTATCTCGTATTATTTCGATCAAAAGGAATTCTTTCGATTGTGTTATCCCGATTAGAAAAGCGATTGTTTGGACACGATAATATGAAGATAATGTCACAACGAACATCTCAGGCACGAGACAATCTCTAAAAAATATTAAGCAACTTGAGGAATGTAATCTGAAGCGAGTAAAATTTATTTAAGATTCGATCGAGTTTCTTCAAATATCGTTTCTGTAGGCATAAAAATAAATATAGACATAAAATATTGTATCAACATTGGGATTCGTAAAATTAAAAAGATGCACTTGCACAATGACGCATTTATACAACTGAAAATAAAGAAATATGAAAGCAGACGATGCTTTGCTCTCGCCGGTACTTAACGAGCAGGTAGAATTTTATTGCGGAAATCCTTATCTCTTGAATCTGGTTTCTTTCTTGTAATATCGCTTAGCTGAAAGCTCTATATTTTCGACCAAAGCTTTTCGATCTTTCGCGATCAAGTCGCAATTCATCTTCGCATACATAATTTCTACGAAATCAACATGAACTCATTATTCGCTGGCATGGACATACTTCATCGAGTCTCCTATGTGTTTGTAGCTGGCACGAGATCGCTACGCGTGATCTCCCGACGATGATAGATTATATCCTGAAGACCACCGGTCGCGAGAAGCTGTTCTACTTGGGGCACAGCCAGGGCACCACCACCTTCTTCGTCATGTCAGCGCAGCTACCCGAGTACCAGAACAAAATCCACGCAATGTTCGCCATGGCTCCGGTGGTTTATTGCTCCAACATGATAAGTCCTATTTTCCGGCTGCTGGCGGTATTCTCCACACCGATCGACGTATGTAGCTCGCCGAATTTCACAGACAAATCGGCGGTTTCTGCTCTATGATTTCTTAACGCACACGTGTATACGCGGTAATAATATCTAATGGTAATAATAATCCCGATGCAGTTGGTGGCGAAATTAATCGGTCAGTACGAATTCGAGCCTACGAACGAAGCCATGCAGAAATTTCAGGCGTTAGTGTGCGCGAAGGATGCTATCACGCAGCCATTGTGCTCGAACATGCTTTTCTTAATCGGTGGATACGACCGCGATCAATTCAACAAGGTACGATATATGTGTTATCGCTTAGTTGTGTTTTTAGATATGAAGTGTCGTAATGATACAAAACATGTGTCCGAATAATAAATACCAACAGTGATAGTCATCTACTGGTAATCAATCTTAGGGTTGGAAAACATTCTGCATATACTTATGTGTTACTCTATCACTCTTGCAGACCCTTCTGCCGATAGTCCTCGGACATGTTCCTGCTGGTGCAGCCACGAAGCAATTCGTACATTATGCGCAACTCATTAATTCTGGTAAGCAATCGCTCGCTCGCTCGCTCGCTCGTTCGCCCGCCCGCCCGCCCGCCCGCCTGCCTGCATTCGTTCTTTGCGCAAATATAGCGAAAAGTTTGCGTACTTAAATCTATCTTCCCCTCTTAAAAATAAAACAAGAAACACAACGTAACAACAGTTTCGATTTTTCATCAGGCAAGTTTCGACAGTTCGATTATGGATTTTTCGGTAACTTGGGCATCTATAACAGGATATTTCCACCGAAATACGATCTAAGTAAAATCCGAGTGCCGATTTCACTGCACTACAGCTCCAACGACTGGCTAGCAGACGTCGAGGTTTGTATCTTTTTGCACGGGGTGATCCATTCAATTCAACGTTCAAACGTCAATGTGTCTGCATCTTAAGAGAAAATAAAGCAATATCCATCAGATTTATCAGATTCAATAATGGAAACGCGAAAGCGTCCACAAAAACGTCTAATGGTAACGGGAACTCTCTTAAACCTGAGGAAAGATTAAAAGATTTTTCCACGAATATTATCGGATATATTAGAACTTAGACTGTAAATCATGCAAGTATCTCGGGCTTCTTCTCTCTTTTTGGGTACAGACATATTCCTCGAGATGTGAATTGCTTCCAAAAAATAAAAAGATACGAGCTTGTACGGATACCTTGCCAAGGAAGAAAAGAGGAAGAAAAGGAGGGCGAGATCAATTATAACTATACAGCACCGTGCAAGCTTATATATTAAACATTTTTTGGAAAGATTGAATATTCTGAAAAATATCCAAGACACTCGAGTTAAATGGATCTGTGTATAACATCATTTTGTTGCGCCAATCTTCTCATCACACTTACATCATATCGATTCTCTCCGCAGGACGTGCATCAGTTATACAAAGAGTTAGGCAAACCTTTCGGCAAATTCCGAGTGCCGCATGACAAATTCAATCATTTGGACTACATGTGGGCTAAGGACGTGGATACACTCTTATACGACAAGATACTGAGCTTAATGACGCGCTTCAAGGATTAAACTACGACATCTATGATGGACCAAGCGAAGGCTAAAAAATAAGACGAAGGTCAAAAAGTAACTTGCTTTCTATAAAAGACTGGATTTTGTACGGCGATTGTAAAAGTATCGAACGAAAGGATTTTTTATTGCATCATCACCTTCGTTCATTCATTTTCACTATTTCAAGATGTTCACGAGACATATGTGTTGTTTCTACGGTTGTATAATTTAATTTTAAAGCGTATTCTGGATGGAAATAACACCAGAAGGCAGATGTAAGTGTGCGATGATCAAACTGAGATCTAAATTTTTTCGCGCTTACATCTACATTCTGACATACCATGCATATGTGATATATCAGCTCTTTCTTTCTGAATTAAGTTTCTCGCCAATTTCTTGTTAACCCTCGTACAATCTGCTCAGACATATAGCCAAAGATTGCATTTTGAAGAATAAAAATTTTTTACTGTGATATCGAATGTAATGAAAGTTCCACTTGAGACTTAAATTTATAAATTTGGTTAATAGATATATAATATAGAACAATTACAAATAAGTCGCGTCTTTCAATATCCATCGAGTATACCGATAATTCTTATCAATCTGTTTTCCTAATTATCAAAGATAATTAGCATAGACTTAAGACGTTTGGATACTTAATATTTCCTAAAAGGAATTATCTGTAGAATATTCATGTCAATTTTAGTTCATAAGTAATTTTGCAAATTGATAAATATGTAATTGTGTTAGTGATCGAATAATGTAGTGATGAAAAGCCGAAACGAATATTGATAAATACATCGTATACATTATTAACTACAATATAATGAATGAAATGAAAAATCCGTAGACGCTAACGATAAGAAAGCAACTCTCATTAGGAAGTCCCAAGCAGGAAGCGCAAGTATCGAATTCCGCACACGTGCTCATGTAACGTTGGACATACATGCGAACGGCATGAGAGAACACAATAGATATTTATAGTTCCTATACGGGAAACGTGATAAACGAGTCTAACAAAGTTACGCAAATGATGCGAAACATAACAGGTAATTACCTAGTTAGCTACTCCGTATATTGCAAGTCACAAGGTTGAATTTTATCGAACAACGCATTATTGATGTTCTGCACGCAATATCGTGTGCATAGACACGTGTGAGTACGCGTGTATGCATATGTGTTCGCGACCGCAGCTCACTCTCTCTCTCCATTTTTGGCGTCATAATTTTTGAACAAAATTCCACCTCGTGATGTTTAATATCGCTCTCCGCAATAGCCTTGTTTTTACATCGTACGTTATACAACATTTAGCGCATGGAAAGTTACGAGTTTAGAGAAAGGTAAAATGCATCGTTTCGTGTGGAATTCGTTTTTATTGTTAAGCACAATAATATTCGTCTGCTTTTACCGCATCTTCTGCATGTTATTTAATCGCGAAGATATCTCTCAAAATATCTCTCGGTGGTACGGAACGGATTTCCACCGAGCAAGCTCGATCCTCCATGAAATACGAATATTGCCGTGCTAACCGCATTCGTATTTCGCTTATCAGCTTGTATGCATCTTCGAGTTATACGAAAAATAGTTTTATTTCATTTCCGGTACCTCGCACTATTTTGGTTTGAGAAAACGCGTCGGAAGCTGTGGTCCTGAAGTCAGCAAAATAAGCGAATACGGATCACCGTCACCTTAACAGCATTCTTCGCTCGGCACCTCGGGATGTATGTGTGTGTATATATATATACATATACATATATGTGCGTATGTATATAAGTATATATAACGTACGAAGTACAATAGGCATTTTAACAGCTACCGTCGATTTTATTCCGAGCCTATTTAGCGGTGCTTCTTGAACCGATTTCATGTAGCAAGTACGGCGAAAGCATAATGTACATCATCGTGTATAACACCGTAAAGATACAGATCATTCTGCTACTATTTATATATGCAATTTTTGTTTGAATAAAGTCGCTGGAATATATCTATTTATATATATATATGTATATATATATATGTATATACACAACAATAAATAAATAAAAAAAGAAACGTAAGGCGTTATAACATATCAGTTCAGGTATTTTCAGTCGATCTTCGGTACAGGATTCGATTTCTTTTCTTTTTTGCTCTTTTTTTCTTCAATTGTCGTGATTCTAACTTCGAGCACTTTCTGACTGCTTAAATTGTATTCGCTGCTTATAAAAAGTGGCATAGCGAGCTGTTGCTGCGAGAAAAAAAAAGACATTGCACGCTGGTAGTACTTTTGATAATATTTAATAGTCAGTCTAAAATTTGAACAATGTAGCAACGTTTACGATAATCAAATACTGCATGAAAAATCGTTTGAAAGATTGCACTATATATAAATAGTATATTATATAATGTATAATCTATATATGTATTTTATTATATATATATGTATGTATAAGTACCATAATATGGAGTGTTTAATATTACATAAAAGATAGAATTTAATCGGGCAGAAATATGATATCTCTCTCTCTCTCTCTCTTTCTGGAAACGAATAGTTTTTTCCCTAAGTATACATCGCCTCGAGATAAAACTTCTTGCATTAGTCTCTGTGCACAATATAAAAAATTGTGAAGGTAGCAATGAACGAGTCGTACATCGTTATTCAATAGCATGTTAGTTTTACATGGAAAAAAAGTTGTTAGAGTATTACGTGTACGACGGTATCATCGTACGACGAGATTGAGCTTTCTTTTCTTTTCCTTTTTTTCGATCCTTTTGAAAGTCCTTAAACTAACCGAAATTGTCATGTTAAAGTAAATATAAGGAATCGGTTATGATCGATGCGCAGTACATAAGGGATACAATATGATGGTTTTTTTTCAAATAATATAAAATAACGGTTTCAATCAATCACGAGCGGGAGTTACATTCATTATTGGCGATTACCTTACTGGGTACTGTGTATTCTCGCATTTGTGTAGAGAATCAAGCAAAATATTTCACTTGCGAATCCACCTAACGCGAAGTATATATTTATATATATATTTTATATATATATATAGTGCACTTAGTGTTCTTGAACACTATTATTAAACAATTACGCTAAAATTTGCTAATTTAAAATCGCCAGTATTGAACTCAACCGTTTTGCATATTACCTAATATAAAACAACACAACAAACTTGTTGGCATACAAAGTACATGTAACATGTAAGGTTGTATGTCATCTTATTCATTTTTTTTGCTTTCCAGTTCATTTCCCTACCCTTCAAAGTTTCTCCACAGAATTTATCCGTGTTTTATACTCCCACTTACATAACGATAAACAGTATTCAAGTCAGAACGTTCACATTTCTTTTATCGCTCATTTATCGGGCGCATGCATTAGTTTTAAAAGAAATTTTTGTTATGTATACATACACATACTGAAGGTCCTTTTACACATGTTTGGTGATTTTAAATGTAAACTTTTGTTTTCGCATAGTGAGCGAGAAGATGAGGAGAAAGGAAGGGAGGAAGGGAGGAGAAAAGGAAGGATGGAGAAAAGAGAATAGAAATCAGCTTATCCGCTCTTAAACAGGAGAATGGCTACCTGACCCAGATAGAAATAGATAAAATGTCTTGTTTCATGCGTCACATAGCTACCGAAATTACGTCCTACAATGCAATGCCACGTTGGGTTATACTTCTTGTCAAACTCTTTCTTGATATATGCCGCAATATCCTGAAAAAGGCCAATATCAATATAAGCTGATGGCAATATATAATATTAATGGTAAAATCAATAATGATATTGATCTAACAATTTCACTAGTATACCTCATATACATAAGGAATGACAAGTTTTCGAAAAAATATTTTTATGCAATTTAGATAATCATATTTAGATGTTATTTGCTTTTAATTGAAGCTTCCCATTTTATATTACTAAATTCTTATGAAATGAATGGATCCTTTCATCTGTACTACTTAAAATTAATATTTAACATTCTCTTTATTAATTATTTGCTTTATCGTAACATTCTATATTAATTTCTTTTATTATAGATTTTTATATGTGTATACACATGCAACTGTACCTTTTTTCGTCAAAATGCAATTAATCAAATAAAGCATTATTTTAACATACATTACATGCCTAGTAGAATTGTTTAGACTCCAATGGACCATTTAAATCAAATCTCATAGACACCCAATTATCATAGTCAAGTGCCCACAAAATATGATTTGTGCTATTATTGTCATTGGACAAGACATGATAGAACAAAGACTAAATATACCTAAGTATCTATATATATTTTGATCGTGTCTTACACATTCCCAGCATGCTCTTCAATAATATTCAGAAAATAGGTTACCTAGTACATTTATAACATAAGATAGAAGGAATATATACCTTTTCTATATTATATTTTTCAAGTGCTTGAGTAGCACAGTCTACAGCATCCTGCTGCATCTCCTCTGACATATCTGCATTCTTGATTACAGCCTTTCGGTCCGACATTTTTTCTATTGTCCTGAAACATAGAGAAAATCATGGTCACACGGTATACCGCCATTGTTCACAATAAAGTATATTTTTAATACTAATATTATACAAGAACTAATCAAACTTGCCTTGGCAAAATCACGATAAGAATTATATATTTGTACATACAGTCATATACACACACAGGGAACCATTAAATAATTTGAAAATAGCATGACTTAAACAAAATATAATCATTAATCGATGTGATGTGTCTCTTTCATCTAGATTTATATCACTTTCAAAATAAACAGCTTATTTATAAATGACATTATCGGTGTTTAGAGCCAATTGGAGTTAAATGTCACGCAGGTGAGACATGCTAATTAACGGCATATTGACGCGGGCCTCGCCAATGTAACGCGATCATGCGTACGCTATTAAAAAAATGTAATTGAGAAATTGAACGGATAAACCTGGATCGCGGAAAGCGCACGACTTTGACAGTAGCGTGTACATCCAACGCCGGCATGACAATACTTTAGTTGTGTGCGTGCAGCACTAGATCCAAGCAAGACAGAGACAGACGTAGAAATAGAGGTGGGGAGACAGGAGGTGAGAAAAAGAGAGAGGGAAGGAAGGGAGGGAGAAAGAGAGAGAGAGAAAGGGTAAGGGAGCGAGAATTCTACTGCTATTGCCGCGAATCTCGGTGCGAGGCACAAATAGAGAATAGGAGACAGAGAGAAAGCAAGTGAGTGAGAGATAGAGAGAGAGAGAGAGAGAGAGAGAGAGAGAGATAAAGTAGCGCGAATAGAGCAGAGACGACAGAGTGAAAGAAAGAGAACGAGGGACGGGAGGTGTGAGAGAAAGAGAGAGTGAGAACAGGATAGAACAGAGTATATGATTAAAGGAGGAGGAGGAGGAAGAGGAGGGCGAAACGCGGGAGGACGGTGTTTTGTCGATATGAGACAATAAAGAAAATGCTAATTCGGCCGGCACGCGAGAGCACGGAGCCGCGCGAAAGTGGGTCGCGCAACGATGCCGCTCGTCGTGTCGTCGACGACGGCGACGGTGGCAACGACGACCGTGGTGATGGTGGTGGTAGTGGCGGTGGCGACGAAGACGACGAGGACGGTTGCTTCGCCGTCTCCGGCGGAGCATCCCCGAGCCGCATCTGACGCAAGACCAGAACGTGCTCGAACGAATCCCGGCGATGAGCCAGGCTCTCGACGACGATGACGGCGGCGGCGGCGACGGCGGCGGTGGCGGCCGCGGCCGCCGCCGCCGCCGCTGCCGCCGCCGCCACCACCGCGACGATCGACGACGATGACTTTGTAATCGAGTGCCGCCGCATATCCACAGAGATTCGCGACGCGACGCGACGAGACGCTCTCGCGTATCCCGTGTTTTCTTTACCTTGTCTCGTTGACACTGTCTCCGGCGGATCACAAACGGGCTCGCCCTCCGGTCCGTGAATAGCCGCGAATACGTTATTTAACGCGCGCGTTGCAATTCGCGACAACGATGATTTGGAGACGCGACGATAGACGCGTGATCAAACGATGGACGACGTTATTGCCGTTCGGTTGCTGCTGCTGTTTCACACTCGGGGAGATTTTGCGCTCGTTGGCTCCTACGGGCCTCGAGAGAGATACGGTACCTCCGCGGCGAATCGGGCTCCGGACTGCGAGTAGTGCGGCCAAGTCGCGCGCGACACCGGCCTGTGATTGGCCGGCCGACAGGGTCTTCTATCAGGGTCTTCTATCGTCCCAGCATGCATCACGCGAGCGACGCGCGAACAAACGAAACGCACGGACAGATGAATGCTCCACGCGGGTGGAACTCCCGCACTGCGAATCCGCGAGTCCCCGTCGAGATATAGAAATGAATCAGCCATCTCGGGAGACGCGAGCCGCTCTCGCGCGTCTATCGGCGAGTTCTGCTAGTCTTGACCGCATGTGTTGCATGTGTCTCGTTATCTGCTCTCTCCAAGTGAGATGATAAGCGTACGATCGAACGTCCAGGGGGAGTGGAGCGTATACAAGAAGTGAATGGAAGTATGGAGACATCGGATAAAAATAATAGACCTCGGGTTATAAATAATAATAGATAAAGAGAACGAGGGAGTATGCGCAGAATTGCTAGAGAGATTCAAGAGCAAAGTTGAAGAAGGAAGCAAAGGTTCTAATAAGATTCGATTGATTATCTAAATGATAATTGATATCACTCGAAAATAATATTTGGTTCTACTTAGTTCTATATTCGTCTGTAAAATAATAACTTAAAAACTGATAGTATATCAGTACTCTTCTTTCTTCAAACAAACACTTCAAACGCTCATCTTTTCTCCCTCTCTTCATTCTACCAAAAGAACCAAAAGTATTAACGCGTGTATACTTTCATGGTATTCTGAGTATATGAACAATTATATATATATATATATATATGTATGTATGTATGTATGTATATATGTATACAAATAAATGTAATCGAATGATTATTATGTAAATATAATCAACGAGCTGCACGAACGAATCAAGAGCCTTCTTAAATTTTATTCGCGATAAAACGATACGCGGCGAGCTTAATTTTTATTATTGACCGTAAGCGCAACTTTCGTACGCAAGTATGAATTTCCGTATGCAATTTTATATAATACAATATTTCAGCTTTGACCGATGATAATACTTTGTTTCGCGCAGCGCTGATATGGCTTGTCTTCAACTGCGATGTTACTTCGCTCAAGTTTAACGATTTCATTTGCAAAGTGCAGTCTCTCATGCATTCGCCTAGTCAGTGAGAACAATGCATTTGCCGATGTACGAGGCAGGCTCACTCCTCATTCATTAATCATTCATCTATTTCTGTACGTCGGAAGCGCGCGAGTCAAAGAAAATATACGCAGAAAGATATTTTTGAGCTTGATTAATAAAGAAAGTGCTCTTTATCTGCGTCTTCCGCCGACCGATCGGACGATATGATGACATGCACTTCAATCCCGTTCGCCAATCAGCGCTGTCGTTTTCGGTGCCTCTTGAAAATACGGCCGCGCGATTGGTCAGCCGATGGAATTCGAACACTTCGCGCCTCATATCGTGCTCCCTTCTACCGCGCGCAGTGCACTCAATGGTATATATAAACGTCCCTCTGAATCGATAAATTGCTATAGTGAGCTGCAGTTGAGAGCGCTAGTGATCACTCGGCTTCTCGTTTCTTCGTCGTCTCTGGTTGCAAGTACGGACAGAAATCCGACGTCTAAATTTGCGTCGTGACTGTTTCTTTCTAAGTTTGGTCATTGAAAAATTCGTGAGATATGTTCCGCATTCTCGTGACGATCGTCGCACTCTTTGTGCTAAGCGACGCGAAATTACATAGGTAAGTAAATCGAAACGATTACAACATTTAGGCTACGTTCCGATATTCACTGCCAGCACTGAAATTCTATAGTATACATGACACAAACTATGTATTTTCAGTACTGGCAGTAAATTTCGGAACGCAGCCATACATGACATCGCATGACATGTATCAATTACGGATCACTCGATAAAAGCCCCCGTGTCAATTTGAATATCGCTGAATATTGAAGATTATGAATCAAATGTCTGAAATATGACAAGCCACTCTCTAACTACGTTCGTGGCTAGCTCCGTCACGATTAGTCAAATTTTAATTTTCAAAATCCGTTATCCTCAATCTGCGAAAATTGATTTTGTTACCGTCATCGTGGACCTTTGTAACCATATAAAATATAATTGATGCATGGAAAATGATTTTAAGTCTCTGGAAAAGTGTATTTTCGTTCATCATTACGAAAAAAGATATGTTTAATATTAGGACACAAGTAGTATATTTCTTTACGATAAGATATATTTACTTTAAGCTTCAAATAGAGTGATAACTTAGGTGTCAAATCAAAAATTTTGTGAAAATTTGCTCTTTCATATTTATCTGTAAAACTTTTTCAAGGAAATATCATATATTGAAAGTGTAAAAAGATTACTGATAAATATATTTATGAGATACTCAAATTATATCTTTCACTTTATCTCACGTGTAAATAAATGAGCTAAAAGTAGCATGTTATGATGTATCCTTGGTTTAGCAGACTTCATCAGTATCACTCTGCTCTTGGAAGCTTGCCTACCTTATTCCAAATATTATTTGTCCCCCCTCAATGAACAATTGTATATTGTCTTCTACTGTTAAATGTGTGCTAGAGTAGATATATATCATCTATTCTAGTCAAATGGTATTCTACCCAAAACTGTAGACTTTAGACAAAAATGATAATGAAATAATATTTTGTGTATGTACAATTTAGAAAGAAAAAATGATTAATTTAGCTTTATAATTAATTATAATTATAATTAATTAAAACTAATTTGATATGACCTTGAATATAGGAATATATTTAACACTTGTATCATAAACACTTAAGACAATATCTAGAGCAAAGCTTTAAATATATGCTCTTTTCTTTTAAAAGATGAGTCGCAGTGTTCTTTATATGACTGATCGCTTATACCAATAGATAAAGATATTTATATTTATATGTACATATATGTATTGCAATGCTTTTAAGGATCCAATTGCACAAGACAGAATCTATTCGAAGAATTCTGCAGGAAGTTGGTACAGATTTGCATCAAGTTCGTTTATACGGAGTTACTACTCCTACACCAGAACCCTTGTCCAATTACTTGGATGCTCAATACTATGGCGTAATTACCATTGGGACTCCACCACAGGAATTCAGAGTGATTTTTGATACAGGTTCTTCAAATCTTTGGGTACCATCCAAAAAGTGCAGCATTACTAACATTGCTTGCTGTAAGTATGCTATTGTATTTTACTGCTTCATTATTTATATATTTACATTTATATTTGAAGCATTTGTTATATAAAGTTATATAATCATTTGGATAATTGGGGTAATTAGGGGAATAATTATATATCAGTTAAAAGTGTAAATCACATTAATCTTAACACTATGGTATTCTATTCTATATATATCCATATCTCAGATAAATCTTTAAAATAACTTTAAAACTGAATGAATATGATTTAAAAAGACAAAATTTTTTATAACAAATATTATAGAAACATACTTCATTTACTGTAGACTTATTTATGCAATTTATCACTCCCTCTTAAGATGTAAGTGACCTTTGATACACTAAGATAAAATTATGAATCATAACAATGTATTCATCTAATTATATCTGGTAACTAAAGAAACAATAGATTGTTTATCCAGATTATTAAAATTATTTATTATTGTTGAGAAAAAACTTATATTATTATTTAAATTCCATTGTGATTTACAGTGTTGCATCACAAATATGACAGCAGAAAATCCAGCACATACCAGAAGAATGGCACTGAATTCGCTATTCGTTATGGTTCTGGCAGTCTGTCTGGTTTCTTATCATCTGATGTAGTGAATGTGAGTCATTCCACGAAAAGAAATTTGATAAGATATAAGTATGATCTAATAGTAAATCTTTACTGAGTGTTCTTTACATATTAACGTTTTCACTATTCTCGATAGAAAATGTACAATATTTTATCACTAATGTCAATATTTTTGCAGATTGGTGGATTAAATGTTCAAGGTCAAACATTCGCGGAAGCTGTCAAAGAACCAGGTTTGGTCTTCGTCGCCGCAAAATTCGACGGTATATTAGGAATGGGTTACTCCACAATTGCTGTTGATGGAGTGACTCCCGTCTTCTACAATATGGTGAAACAAGATTTGGTACCGAAAGCTGTTTTCAGCTTTTATCTTAATCGGTACATATCTTCTATTTTACTGTTAAAAGATTTGATGTTTAAAAACATCTGTTTAATTCGCTAAATCAAATATTGCCTTTCCATATTATAATAAAAAAAGAATATAATCTAATCACATAGCGACCCTGATGCTAAAGTGGGCGGTGAAATGTTGTTGGGTGGTTCTGATTCGGATCATTATGAAGGTGAATTCACATATGTTCCCGTTAGTCGCAAAGGATATTGGCAATTCGCAATGGACAGGTATATAACTATATTCTCTGGAAAAAAAGAACGGAATTTTATGATAGAAATCTACATAAATAACAATAGAATAAAAGATAAAAGCCTAGTAACACTATATGGAATTATTATTAACTTTCTCCAGTTCTTATATTTTCTGAATTATACATCGCTTGCACTTTCACGCACATAATTTACATTATCGTTTTGCAGTATTCAAGTACATGGTCACACTCTGTGCGCGTCTGGTTGTCAGGCTATCGCTGACACTGGCACCTCATTGATAGCTGGACCAGTCGAGGAAGTCGCAGTTATTAACAGTTTAATAGGAGCCACTACTATCATAGCTGGAGAGGCAATAGTAAATAAACGATTAATTTTGTACTTTTCACTGATATAAAGATTTTATCACACATTTTCTACAAGCAACACAAACATCTAAATTTTAATATTTCAAATTATGCAGAGATTATTACCAAAACTATAATTTTATGTGCTCTTACTCGAAGGTTGATTGCGATTTGATTGAGAAGTTACCCGGAATAGATGTCATCATAGGTGGTAAGATGTTCAGTCTTAGTGGTAAAGACTATATTCTTCGAGTAAGTAACATAAATCTTGATTCATACTTTACTGTAAAATTACCAAAATAGAAATTTTATGCATCATGTTTGAATTCTTCGTAGGTTAAGCAGTTTGGTAAAACGATATGCATGAGCGGCTTCATGGGTATGGATATTCCTCCGCCAAACGGACCACTATGGATTTTGGGTGATGTGTTTATTGGCCGTTTCTATACTGAATTCGACATGGAGAATGACCGAGTGGGATTCGCTGTGGCAAAATAAAATAATTGATTCTGTTCCTGTTCCAAGTTTATCATTAAAAGAACGAAAAAAAGTGTAACAATCGAAATTAAGATCAAGTAAAATTCATTTAGCATAATGATCAAATCTATGTTTATTGCTTTGTAATTGTTACTTATCGACGATTTAAGAAGTGTGTCGTGAAATATACTTTTATAATATTTTAGAAAAGTAAAACAAACATGTATAATTTCGATACTTAATGTTTAATCAATGCATCTTTTTTGTGCATAATACAGATGTAACTAAAGATGTTGAAATGGAATTAAATTTGTTGAAATAAATAATGTATTCTTTTCATACTATGTACCAATTTTATTTAATAATAATACCAATTCCAATATATTTATACTTATTCTGAATAAAATACCTCAGCTATATTATATCTTTGAAGTATTTTAGTATACAATGATCTTTGACCATAGTATCATAGTACATACATGTACATCTTATTATGTTCATAAAATATTTTATACAGAGAAAAATTATACATCGATTTCTTTCTTCTTGACTGCATGGAGGCCATAGCAAAATGCTGTGCTGGATGACAAAGACCATTCCTTAATTATTGGATTATATACTATTCCATAAATTAATTTAGTCTTACAACCATCTGTAAAATAAAAATATTAAAAGAAAATCCTCAAGTTGTCTGATGCAAAAGTACTTGCATGAATGATTTTTACATATTATAATTTCATATATTTCTTCGTGCAAAAAGTATCTTTAAGTAACACTATATATAATCTAGGTAAAAATTTACTTTTTTCCAATATACATTGAATTTCACAGGGAAGAATAAAGTTATTCCAATCATGGGTGCCGCGAGGTATTATATTTATAACATATTCAGCAACTATAATACCAAAAAACCAAGAGATTAGAGTTTTGTTCGGTGTTGTTATAAAAATTGATCCACCAGGCTTCAGAAGTCTTACACATTCCTGTAGTAAATATTTGTAAAGTGATTAATTCGATATTTAATATTTTAGGTAATTTCTAATGTGATATCATACCCTTAGAAATAATTTTTGGTTATATACATGTTCTATAACTTCAGAGGATACAACAACATCGTACAGTTTTTCATTCTCACCAGAGAATTCCTCTATGGTTGAGTGAACATAGTTTACATTCTTCGATATATTAGAATCTAACTCTGCATGCAGCTTAGCAATATTTATTAATTCTTCTGATGCATCTATTCCAGTTACTTGTGCTCCTATTCTAGCTAAAGCCTCAGATAGGATACCTCCTCCACAGCCAACATCTACAATCTTAACTCCTTGCAATGACATGTTTGGAGTCTGTTCTTTGAAACCAATATTAGCCAGACCATCTCTTATAAATTGTACTCTAAGTGGGTTAAATGCATGAAGGATTTTTATTTTACTGTTTTCACCCCACCAGTCATCTTTTAGTTTGCTGTGATGCTTGACATCTTTAATATTTATGGTTGATGTTGATCTGACTAATGTATAATTGATTTTTTTCAATCTGTTAAATCAGACAACCAATATACTTCATATTTAATCCGACAAACACTTCTCGGTGATTTGTGTAAATATTGAAAATCGAAATCTGATAAAATTATTGATAAGACCACTAGTAATCTGATAAAATTATAGATAAAATCAGCATTTTGTAACCAGTAAACAAATTTATAAAAAAGTCGGAACGGAACATTGTTATATAATTGATACAGTTAAATATCATAATAACAATTAAACAGTATACCTATTATAGAGAATAATTCTCTGTAGCCCACAAGGGTAAATAAAACTTTTCAAAATATTCATGCTTGCATTATATAAAATAAAAGAATAAATAATCAAAAGATGATCTTCACATAACATAGACCTATATGACAAGTGGTTAATTTTAATTGAAAATTTGCACTTTATAATTAAATATTCTGAGTTATATGTAACAAACAATTGTGTGTAATCTTATTTTAATTTCACAAATGCACTGTCCAGATTATTTTAACTCTTATATTGTAAAGAGAATAAGAAGTATTCATATGTCACAGATCATTGCAACAACATTGTAGCAACCTTGCAATAATGCAAATTGTAATAAAGAGGCATACTCATAGACATAATAAGAATAGACTGCGTGTGAGGGTCAAAACTTGAAAATCAAGTAGAAAGAGACGGACAATAGGTGCCGAGTATCTTTCTCTCTCACACAAGGAAAGGAGTGGGGAAAGAGTGGGGAGCAAAAAAGAGTAGTGAAACAGCTGTATGCGGTTGAAAAAAGGTGCGTAGTCGGTTCCCAGTTTATTTGCTGTACGATTCAGGAGATGCTCTGCTTTATTTATTTAAAGTTAGTATCAACGTATTGTTACGCGCTTAATTTCCTTGCGATCACACGCGCATGTCGGTCATAGCAGGATTAAGGGTAGCGTGAAGGTTAGAATCACATTGGAAGATCTTCTCTAACTGCTCTGTCCGCGTTTCTCTGCAGCTTTATTTCTCTACTTTCCTTCTAATGCTTCGGACATTCGTTTCGCATTTTCATTTAAGAAAAACTGATTATTCTGTCAGTGTTGTGTCAATGCTGGTGTGTTGCTAAAAGTTTTTGTTGACTACAGTTAATCGAATCCGTCGACGCACCATAGCATATACATATTCACGGAGAAAACAAGGAATAAAATAATTTAAAAAATAGTTATTACGTGCTGTATTTGTGGTGTGGAAGAAAACCCTCTTTATCCACGATCATTTCATAAGTAATTTAAAAAATATATTTGTATTCAATATGAATGTAAACATATCGTAATTAATAATATATATACACATATATATAAGTGAAAATATATATGTAAAAAATTTACAGAATCCCAAAAAATGAAGAAATGCGAAAAAAATGGTTTCACGTTATTGGCCGTGATGTATCTTACAAAGGAGTAAAAATATGTGACCACTTTACAAAAAATGACTATCATGAAATGAATGAATATAAACAAAATAAAATATTGAGAAAGACTGCAGTTCCATTAATTTTCGTGGAAGAAAATTGGTGAGAATGTTAAATTATAAATAAGAACATATATGTAATAATCTTACAGGAAGATGCAATAAATCCATTACATTGAAATATTTTGTTTTGTAGTAAACATGTGGAGAAGGATACAGATACCAATTTAAGCACAGATATAAATACAAATACAGCAGAAAATAATGACATAGACAATAAAAGAAATAGGTAAGAAACACTAAAGATACACTAAGATATACACCAAAAGGGAAAATAAAGTTATCGTAATATATAAGATAAAACATTAATGTATGTGAATATTTTTTGTTTTATAGTGAAAATACGAGTAAGAATTCCATTACGGACACAGATGCAGATATACATACACATGTAGCAGAAGATGTTAATAACATAAACATCTATAGCAACCATAGTAATAATCACAGTAGAAAAAGGTGAGATATCTAAAGATTTAAATAATTTTTCCTATCGGGTATTATTCCAACAAATTATAAATTATCAAAATTTTATTTTCAGGAAATTGTCGCAAGAGAATTTTAGAAACTCAAAAATTAAAAAAATATTTGTAAACACTTCTAAACATGCTACAAAATGCTTCCGTAAAACAGATTTTGTGTCTGATGCAAAATGAGAGCAGTTTGTAAGATATGTGTCATATATTCGAAATGAAACAAAAAATATGTGGCAAAAGAAAAACCGTATGCAGAAGAAAGTTTTAACTTATAAAGATTTGCTTCAGGACCTGAAAAGTAAAAACTTTATAACAAATAATGGTATAGATGCAATCAAAGTAAGTTGAGTTTAGTTATTTTCCATTCGCAGAAAGATTTGAAATTCACATTGTCCACAATATTTATTCTCTTATAAGAAAGTTCATGATAACTCTCCAATCACAATGTAACTTCATCATAATATTGACTCTTATAGAAAGGTCCATGATAATGAAGCAAATGATAGAACAATACTTGATTTCTACATCATGTTAAAAATATGATATAACAAATGTTGTGTATATACATATACCCTCTCAATCTACAAATCTACAAATGCACTAATGATGTTATATCTTCGTTCTAAATAAGTTATTATGTATATGTCTATGCGTACAACCATTTGTCTCCTTGATTTCTTCTGTTTTTATATCTATATTTTGTACTTCCTTTTTCTTTATTTAGGATATATTGTCACCTGTTATGCAACAGTTGCTACTTACAATGTTAAATAAGAAGCGAAAAAAGTCGTTCCCCGAAAGTTTAAAAAGTTTTGCATGCACGTTACATTTTCATTCGCCTGCAGCATATTTGTATGTAAGAAAAATGTTTTTAAAAAGTTTACCTCACCCCAGTACACTGCGCATGAGGACGCAGACAATTCGTAGCAATTTCGGTATATCTGAACAATCGTTTAAAACTAAACTCGATAAGGTGCAAAATGCTAGAGAGAAAGGAAAAAACTTAGTTTTCAATATAACTTTTGATGAAATGAATATTAAGAAAAAAGTTGATTGGGACGGCAAAGAATTACACGATTTTATTGAAACGGGTATTAAAGATAGTAAGTCTGACAGTCTGCCACTTGCTACCCATATCCTTCTTTTTATGTTAGTGTGCATAAATGATCATTTTAAAATCCCAATTGCATTTTATGTTATCGAGGCATTAAATGGTAAGGAAAAAGCAAATTTGTTAAATAACATTTTAAGTATTCTCCATGAAAAAGCAATTTACGTTGTTAGTATTACATTTGATGGAGCAACTTCTAATATTGCAATGTGCGAGATACTAGGCGCACAGTTAAAACATGTCAATTTTGAACATATTGTTCCATATTTTAAGCATCCTATTAACAAATCTAAAAATATTTATATTTTTTATGATGCATGTCACATGTTGAAGCTTGTGAGGAATGCAATTAGTAAAGGGGTTATTAAAGATAAAGACAAAAATGTAATAAGTTGGAACTTTCTGAAAGAATTAGTAAATGTGCAAACTGTGGAAAAATTACATGTTGCCAATAAAATGCGAAAAAGACATATACAGTTTTTTAATGAAAAGATGAAAGTTAATCTAGCAGCACAAACATTAAGTAATTCTGTAGCTGATGCATTGACGTTTTTAGAATATGAATTAAAAGAACCAAGATTTATAGGAGCTTCAACTACTGCAACATTTTGTAAAACTTTCAATGACATATTTGATATCTTAAATTCACGTAACATATACAATAAAACTGAAAATAAACATGCAATAACAAGAAATACATTATGTACTATTAAAGATAAAGCTAAAACTTTTATGCATTACATTGCTTCCTTAACGATAAATGATATTCCCGTATTATAAAGCATCCTCAAAACAGGTTTCATTGGATTTATAATTAATTTGCAGAACATTATTGCATTAGCAGAAGAATTATTTAATGTAAATGCAATAATCTTTCTTCTTAGATATAAATTATCACAGGACCATATCGAAACTTTTTTTTCATTGATTAGAAGAATGCATGGTTGGAATAATAATCTTAGCGTAAAGCAATTTAAGGTGTCATATAGAAAGATATTGCATTTAGCGAATGTATCAGTCTCATTGAATGCTAATTGCATTCCACAAGATGATACTGTATTGCTAACACTTTCACATGAATCTACGAATGATATACAGACAATTAACGAACATGTAGAACAAAATAAAGATACTATTTTAGAAGAAAGATCTTTAGAAGATGAACCTTCAGATCTCATCTTTATTGAGCATAATTATGTATTACGTGATAAAAAAGTTAATGAATATGCTGAAGAAATCATTGCTTACATATCAGGATATGTTGCTAAAACTATTATGAAAAGAATTAATTGTTCAGAATGCAAACAATTACTTTCAAATAATACATATAAACAGTTGAATATAGATCGTACCAGTAAACTTATACAGATAAAGGATCTAGGCAACTTATGTAAAGCATCAAATGATGTGATTACGATATGTAAGATAGCATATAAAATAGTACGATGTAATCAACATGGACTATTTACAAATAAAAATATTCTTGCACATCTCATCATGTGAGGCTGTACGCTCCATTCCTGTGCATATATTTGACTATAATAATCATATATTCGATCAAAGTCCACTTTTTGATCACCGAAACCAAATAATTAAATTAATTTTGAAAACATTTTTTAATTTAATTTTAAAACATGAAAGTACATCATTCGCAGATTCGATACAACGAGTTCGGATGAAAAATAATAAAATAACCTTGTTCAAAAATCAATAAATAAACAACAACTTATATAAAAATATATATATATTTTTTTAATAAAGATTATATTACTTTGTAATATTGATATTTTTATTACAACTTTTCCACACATATTCATGTATAAAATATTTAATCGTTTCAATATAAATGTTTACACGTAGTTTATAATAGTTGAAACACATTTATCTCTAAATTTTAAACGGTTTTATTTAACATTACACAACTTTTTTTAACCTAACATCATGTATATAGCACGTTATATATTACTACGCATCACTGCGCATGCGTGAGCAGAGAAAGAAAGATACTCGGCACTTGCTTTCTGTCTCTTTCTACCTGATCTTCAGTCTTCACAAGAGTACACGCGCAGTCTATTCTTACTATGTCTATGGGCATACCGTGCCTATAAAGCCCCTTGCACAATGCCAGGCAACAGGCAATAAGAATAAAAATAGACCAATCACAATAAATTATTCTTGTAATAGTTGATAAATAATTCTTCTGCTAATGCAATAATGTTCTGCAAATTAATTATAAATCCAATGAAACCTGTTTTGAGGATGCTTTGTAATACGGGAATATAATTTATCGTTAAGGAAGCAATGTAATGCATAAAAGTTTTAGCTTTATCTTTAATAG